CAAGTTATACTACTTAAATAAGAAAAAATTATTAAAGATTATTAATTAATTTTTGCAGGAATAAAAATTTTCTGAAGGAGAATTATATATTATTGTAGTAACATAAAATTTCTTAATTTCTTAATCTTTTCTTGATTATATAAAATTATATTTTCTTATAATTTTTATTTATTTTATAAATATCTCTATTTTTATATCATATATTATTTTTATTATTATATTTATTATTATATTTCTATTTTTAAACATTATATTTTATTTATATTCAAGATCTATATTTTTATTACTTGTAATATAATATTTATATATAATAGAATAATATAGTAAAAGATCATTTTTAATTTTGGTAAAATAATTATATTTAGATATTAATCACAAATATCTTTTCTTATTCTTTAATATTCTTTTATGTTTTTTTATATCTTTTTATATTTTTTAATATCTTTTCATATCTTTCAATATCTTTCTATATTTTTTAATATCTTTTCATATCTTTCAATATTCTTTCACATACTTTAATATTCTTCAATATTCTTTAATATTTTTCAATATACTTTAATATAATATATTTCTAATTATTTATATTATAGTACTTTACTTATATCTTGTATATTAGATAGTATTAAATAGTAATACTATAATAATTTTTATATTTAAAAAATATATAAAAGAATCTGCTTTCCTAGCTTGAAATAAATAATTTTGAATTGAATTGTTTGAATATAATTAAAAAGCTTATTCTTATAATAATAGTAATCCTTTTATAAGATTTCTTTTCTAATTATACTAGTATTCTTTCTTTTACTCAGTTTTATTTCTTTGATCATATAAAGTTAATTTTGATTTTAAATTATAATATTATATTAATTTTTGATTTTTAATATTATTTTGAGAGTAAAAAATCTCTACTATAAATAAGTTATACTTTTTATTTTATTATTTTTAAGAATAGAAGATTTTTATTATAAATAATTCATATTTTTTATTTTTGTTTAGTTATTTAGTTTACCCTTTTAGTTTTTATTTTTCTTTAGTCATAATCTTCTTTGATTAATAGTAGTTTTATTATTTAATTATTTCAAATCTTGAATTATATCAATTACTAGCAACTTCACTAAGCTAATCTTTATAATTTCTCTAATTTATTTCTTTTTTTATTATTTATTTTACTCTTTTTAAGATAATATTCATAAATATTGATATAGATCTTAGAAATTTTTATTATTATTAAAAATATAATTTAATTTTTCTCTCTTCATCCTTTAATTATTTTAATCTTTTCTAATTCTATATTATTAAGATGAATTTAAGTAAAAACTCACTTACTAATTCACTATAATAATATTTTTTTTATTTAATATATAATTTATACTTATAAAATATTTTTAATATAATCTAAGAATATTAAATATATTCTTTCTTTATCTTACTATATATTAAGATATTATTTAGATATATTATTATAAATTTATTAAGATAATTATAAAAATATTATTCATTAAAATTATAAATATAACTAATATATTAGTAAGATCAAAAGATAAGATCAAAAATTTATAGTAACTATAATAAATTCTGAAAATAGTTTTATAAATATCTTTCTTAGTTATATATTTGATAATATTTAAAATATAAATCTAATTTTAAAAAATATTTTGAACTAGTATAAGCTTATTAACTCTTGATAAAGAATAGTAATTCTTTATAATAATTTTATTTAAGACTTCATAATTTATATATAATTTTAGTATATCTTCTTTCTTATATACGTGATATTCACTTTAATAAAGTCATCTATTCTAAAGAATTTCTTCATTAATCTGAAATTTTGTTATTTCAAATTATTCACATAATTTAATCAGTTTGAATATCTAATAAAAATTTATTTATTTTATTATTATATTATTTATTATGATGTATATAATATACAAATTTTTACACAAAACTAATATAATTATAAATTCTTATTTATCTTTTTTTCTGTATAATATTCTCAAGAATGCTCTTATATAATTTGATTAAGTTTTACAATTCCATATTTAACTTCTCTTATTACATGTATAATAAAAGATTATTAATATTATTAATTACTTCTGTTAATAATATCTTACTTACTTTCTCTAGTTTCTCCTCCTCCTCTTCTTCTTCTAAATATTCTTGAATAGTTACTATAATTTCTCTCATCATATCTAAGTCTTGTTCTTCAGTATAATCAGTTATGTTATAAGTTTCTTTCTCCAAATCAATATATTCATAAACTATAGTCATGAATTCTTCTAATGATAGTTATTTTACTAAATTAATTACTTCAGATTTGAGATTCTCTTCAGTTTTATTTGTCATTAAATATGGTAACTGCACTATTAGTGATGAAATTCTACTTTTATATCATGATAATTGTATAACTCTTGGTTTTATCTGATTTTATATCTTAACCGCAAAGTTAATAGTATTAAGAATTATCAATAAAGATAATTATTAAGATGATATAGATATTTCTATGATAAATTCTATATGAATATATAATGCATTATATTCTTCAATTTAATTTTCATATAATAGTAACCTGTAACTTATCTATTAAAAAAGAGATTAAGAATATGCTTAAAGAAAAGTAAGATAATAATGAGAATTAATTTACTTTTAAGCTGTATATAATGTCTTGATCAAGCAGTTATAAGATAAAAGTTATATTTAAAGATAAGAAATGAAGTTTAATATTAGTCAGTATATTAATTACTTCTTCAAATTTATGTGATATTGTATTGTCAGCAAGTAATAAAATCTGGTGATTAGCATATCTCATTATTGAATCTAAATGGTTGAGATAATATTTAAAGATTAATCATATCATCCAAGTCTTGATATTCTAGTAATGTCAAATGAAAAGGCTTGATTTTGAAATTTCTTTGAGATAGCAAGATATTTGACTTTGATGAATAAATAATAATGATAGCTTATAATCTCCAGTTATATTATATGTGATCATAATTAAAACATGATCTTTAAGTCATTTTGTTTTAGAAATTGATACATAAGCTAAAGTATAACTTGATTTAGTTTTCTAAAAAATAATCATTTCATTACAGTTATATATATCACTTAGTTCATATCATGAAAAAATTTATTAAAGTTTAGTACGCTATTATAAAAGTTATGATTTGTCTATACTATCTAATTTATCTTTATATTAATAAACTTGTAAATTATTTTATTATTAAAATTTAGTAAGCCACCTATTTGAAGTTAAAAAGTTCTTAATTTTTATTAACTTAGCTAATTTTTTTACTTTAGTTTATAAAACATGACTATTAAAAGTAATTTTATCTTGAATTGCCTATTCCACTCATAAAGATACAGCTTCTTCAATTTGAGAAAAATAACTCTTGCATTCTCATTTTAAATTCTTTTTTTGAAGTAAGTCATTCTCAAATACTAACTATCTGTTTTTTGCTTTCAAAATTTCACTAATAATAGATTCTTCAATATCATACTCATTTACTATTTCAATATATTTTAAATATGAATTATTCTTTTTCTTCTGATATAGTTTTTTTTAAACAAGTATAAGTATTATTCATGATTTTTTTGACATAAATACTTTATCTTTAATGTGATATTTTTTGAAAGATATAATAATAAAGAATAAGTATATAATAGAAGGAAAGGAAATAATATAGCAAATGCTTTTGAAAACTTAGATCTTTATTTATATTATAAATATTAATAGATGATTCTGATTAGTTAATTCCTATAATAAAGTTTGTTATATATTAATAAAGTTCATTATATATTAATAAACTTTATTATATCACTAAAGTGAATAAATTTTATTATATATAATCTATTGAATTCTTTATTTATTATTATATAATATTTTATATATAAATCTTTGTTAATATAAAATTATTTTGTTAAAAGTGAATTAATTTCAGAAAAATAAGTTATCTTTGTTAAAGTGAGAGTTATTAAAGTAAATATTACATGTATATAAATAAAATTAATATTTTAAAAAATAAAATATTTTAGTAAATAAAATTTTTTTGAATTAGATTAGCTAATTATTTCTTAAGTTTATTTATTTTTATAAAAAATAATCTATAAATTGATCTGAATAATAATTTAGAGCTAAAATAAGATTAATTTTATGATTAATTATTCTTTTAAATAGTAATTAATTAGATAAAATTTCTAAAAATATAACTTTATATTTTTTTTAATTTCTAATACTTTAGGTAATAATTCTTTTTCTTTGATATCTTCTTTATCTTTGATATTATTAAGATAAATAATAAAGAGTTCTATATTTGCTGATGGATTTATAATTTATTATTTTTAAAATATAATTAAATTATAACTTAATTTTATTATTAACTTGAATTTTTATTATTTTTAATCTATAAGTAAAGATTAGAGATAATATTACAATTAGTTATAACTTAATTATAATTTTTAATTAGTTATTATAATTAATTATAATTAAATTACAATTCTTTAATTAATTATTACAAGTTATAATTAATTAAGAACTATTTTTAGTAAAAATAATAATATTATTTCTGTAACAATTTTGATTGGGTTATCTTCTTTTAGATCTCTTTTAGTTTAGATCTTCATTTTGCGCTATCTGTATAATAGATTAGCTTTGTATTACATTTTTAAG